CGCCAAATTACATCTATAGTTTGCATATTTAGGTTATGTTTGCCCTACTAGATTAGGCCACATAAAGAATTTAGTATAAAACTATAATGGGTAATACCGATTGCACTGAATAGATAGTATTAAGGTGGATTAATGGCCTTGGCTCCGGATCAATGTCACCATCCATGTTTTCTCTAGCATCAATATTTCAAGTTTCGATAAAAATACATAACTCGTTGGTCTCCTGCAAGTTTTGAAACACATTTTGATACAAGGATTTATACATGAATTTGAAAGGGGGAAACTGCTATTTTCAGAAATTGTCATCAAAACAAGTGGATCATGTTCTAATTATGCCAATAACTTATAATATGTATCTAACCATGACAGAAAATCACCAAAACTTGATTAATGTACAAGGTAATTCTTGCATAAAATGGAACTTCTATATTGTAGATTGCATATTTACACTTGATAGACCTACGGAAAGTCCAGACTTTATCCCATCGACTGCAAATTGATCGATGAAGGGCTTAATCCTGGGCAAGATTCAAGCTCCAACGACTCTTCCAGCAGAAGATCTGACCCTGAATACATGCTCTTCACCTGTGCATTTGTCCACCTTAACAATCCAGTTCCCTCTCTTTTTCGAACCAGAACCATTGGCATGCTTTTTAGCTGCTATTCTTATTAATAGCAAGCCTTCTCCTATAGGAAGCAATTCACTACACGAAGGGCTATTCCTCCATGACTCTTTGCAAAATGCATTGTAGCCGAGAACAATTGTATTGTTACATCTCGCGCTTTCTTGAGTCAACCTGATAATTCCCTCGTAATTTTCTAGATTGCAATCAATGGCAACAAAATCTGCTTCTTTGTAATCGTTTATCAGCAGATACTTAACATCTCCAGTTACAAATTCGACGTTATCTGCATTTATGCCCTGAGTCGTCCCGGACAGATAGCCGTCCTGTATGCTGCTAAGAATGCAGATAACGCGCCCACCAGTTTGCTGGGCTGCTGCAGCCAAGGCTAGCGTGGTTGAGTCGGCAGAACCAGCGCACGCCATGACCATGATTTGTGCGTTGTTGCCTGCAGCAAGTGCCGAAATGAACTCGACTCCATTAGGCTCTTTAGCCTTTTCTCCCTGCAAGAAATATCAAATCAAGTGAGTTTAAATATCATGAGAGAAAGTCAATGCAAACTAAGAGCCTTACAACTTAAACTTTTAGACGAGATAGTTTAACCGAACAGATTCTTGAAACTCACCATTCTCATGGTTTTGAGATAGGCCTTAGTGGCATTTTCAGCTGACCAGCAAGCCATTTTTCTGTATTTATTTCCTTCTTGATTTTCTGTTAAATCTTGAGAGATTAATGGACTAATTTTCAATCTTTTGAATGAATGTGATATGCCTTGTTTAGGAATATACTGTATATATAGAGAAAGGAATAGAACGTGCTAGTTGCACGTGGAACTGTGTCTATACAACTGGCTAAACTTAAAATTTGATTGAAGGCAACCTTGAAATGAATAATATTGTATGTACTATAAACCAACCAACATGGAAATCCCTTTGTTAATATTTCTAAGTACTGTAAATGCATAGGAAACCACATGTTGCAAGTTGCCTGTTGTTATAGCCTACGTTTGAGAATAATTTGAAAATGGTTTAATTTATAAATAAAAAGAAATGAATGATGAATAAGTGAATAGTACTTATAAGTCCATTATTATAATTTATAATTGAAAATGAAGTTTAATTATTTATATAAATAATTTATAAATTTTGCTAAATGGAGGCTTGATTTTTATTTTTATTTTTAATCAAGAAGGGGGTTTTCAAAGGTAAACATGGAGAGTTCCATCAATAAATATCAAAGTATGTCTAAATTTTTTGAAAAATAGAAGAGGTAGAGACGAAAATTTAGGGTGTGTTCTCTTTGTCGTTTTCGAGCCGTTTTCTATTTTCGATTTTTCAAAACAGAGAAAACACGTTCTCTTTCCTGTTTTTGAAAACGAATTTTTGAAAACAAAAAAAAATTTGTGAAGAAAACACAAAATGATGTTTTTGTCGTTTTGAGCGTTTTCAGTACAAAGCTCGAAAAAATTGAAAATACGGGAAATGGTTCCAAAATTGCAAAAAGAACGCATTTTCAGCAATTTCAAAACAAGCACTCAAAACACAGCCCAAAATAAATTCAAAACTCAAAACTACAAAACTGAAATACGAAGAGAACAGTCCCTTAGTTATTATGAGAACGTCAAGATCAAAAATGGCAAGTTGACAATACAAGGGCTTGGTCAAATTAATGTGATTTTGTACTCTAACAAGAGCAATTATATATGTGTTGCGTCACCCTTCAAAGAATAATGTTATTTATTCCTTGTGGTCAAATTAATGATATTTACATTGGGTCCTAAGTGACATTATTCCAATACCAAAGATTGGGTGAGTTGGAAATTCTCACTTGTGCAACCATCATGACATGGCCTCCCACAAATGGAATGACAAACACCATGTGTCAAAGGCAACTCACATAAGTGCAAAGCCACTAACTCAAGAGTTTAGGACCCAATTAGTTATATATAGAAGGCTAAGTAATATAGTTTACGAGCATTCGACTAACATAGAACTTCTCAAAATCCCTACGTTTTTCAACTTCGATTCATGACTTAAACTTTGGAGTACCTACACTTTAGCGATCCCGCACTAATTCTAACTCTACTAGTTTTGTAAAGAATTGTGGAGACCGTTAAATTTCCTTAAATACCAATCATATATAGCATGTCTGGTAAGACTTACTAGAAAAAGATCAAGACAAGATATTCCTTCTTTAACCAATTGAGTCGAAAGTACCAACTGTGCTCTAAAGTCACTGACCCTTTGAAGGATTAGAGAGGACATTCAATTCTAAGCTAACAGTAATTAATCAATAAGTGAGGTTAATTACTTTGATGTTATTAAAGTACATGTACTGAATGTACCTCCAAACATTAGCAAGCTTCTAGGAGATTTCATTAATTATTGTTTAGAAATATTTATTTTAATCTGAACAATCTAACTCTGAGCTGTGATGCTCCATTTCAGAGGGACAGTTGAAAATGTACAATTAGACAAATCAGAAATGTTTAATGATTAATTTAACTCCAATAAGGAATCATTAAGTAAACCAAGCAATTCCATGTTAGATCTGGAAGTAATATAAACAATCTCATTACAAGAACTATGTGCTAATACAAGGTTGTTTCTGGTGTTTGGGGGCACCTGTTTAGGGATTGATTGATTGAATTAAGGATTATACCCTTTGTACAGATTTTTGGTGCCCACCCTTTTTGACAGATCAGTGCTGGCGGTTTTTGATTGGTGCAAAAACTGTGTTGTTTTTCAAACATGGCATTCTGTCGAGTATGGTGTAGAATTTTACTGTACAAGGAGTATGGTCCTTGAATTAATGCTAGAGTTTACATGGCTTTTAGGGATCATTCTAAGATTGAGAATCGCGCTTACAACCCAAAATATCGACTCCATTGATCCCAAAAATATCCGGCTTGCAACAAAAATCGGCTGGTTCGTGCTAAAATTTTGTTTCGAGTTCAACAGTTTAACCCTTCACACTTTACCTTCTTGTATACATACCCCAACGTGACCTGTTAAACATTGGTATAATTAAATCGATCTTAATAAATGATGAACAAGTTGCAATTTGAATAAAAATGGATTGGTTTTTAAATTAAGATGCTAAAAGAATTCTTTACTGCCTTTGCAGGGTTTATACAGTGAGGCTGGCCGGCAGAGTCTGAAGAAACAGAAGGGTCTTTGCTTTCCACTTCTCCCGGACAGGCTTACACAGAGATTTAGATCCGATCAAAGTGTTTCCTTCTCAAAACACATGACACATCAGTAACAGAAAAACAAGCTTCTTAAATTTTTTGTTTCTTGGTCTTTTTTCGGATTATACTAAGTCCCACATGTCTGATTCTGCTTAATTGCTCATTCAATATTTGTATTGTCACCTCTACCCCCAACCTATGTGCATGCACTCACGTTGTCCTGGATCAGGCCAATCCAACCATTTTTATTTTTTTTTTCTATTTTTAGTTTTTGTGGATTTGGTGATAATTGAATTCTGGAATCTGGGTTATGATTCCTTCTTGTAGCGTTGGATTATATCGTTTAAAATTTTATCTTACAAGTTCTTTACTATTATAAGAAAGCACTTGAGAAATTTAACGACGCACGGTTTCAACACTTCACAAAAGAGTCATGGACGCATTCCACCAAAGGCCATATATGTTTCATAGAACTTTACGAGGTTAGTTATTATCTATTAAACGTAGTGGTTGCGAATGTTTTTCTATAACTTCACAAATGTGCCAATTTGAGCCATTGCATTCCATTAGTTCAGGAGTAATCACACTAGCCGATTAGTAAATCCTCCGTTAATTATCGTTAGAGAAGAGTTGCATTAGTTTATTCAAAATTAGTATTCATATTCAGTTCGCGAAGTTCTGACTTGTGCACATTTTTCGTAAATGAGTGACGACACATCATCTTAAAGCTTAAATTCTTAGAGAGGAAGAGTTCTATTTGCTTATTGATGTAAACCCATTTATTTTTAAAAAAACTCTAAGTTCCTTTTCATTGTAGTCTTCAAAGGGAGCAAGTTTTCATGGATCAGATCCTGGCCATGCTTAAACTTGACTGATATACAGAATTATTCATTCATCTTGCCATATAGATTAACTGATCCCAAGAGGAATGGGCATGCACAGTATATAAAATTTTCTTGTTTTTATTCAGGGCCCATTTTGAGTTCATCTCATGTAGACACAACTTTTCCCCATACCTCAATTTTTCACATGGCTCAGTTACCTGTAAGCATCTTGATTCTTAAATGAGCAAACTCAACAATGGAGCCATGCCATATGATTGAGAACCATAGGCAAAAATCATAGGTAAATTAATAATCGGCAAGCTCGGCTTGACTAAGTGCATGTTTGGAACTTGTTCATAACTTATAAATATAAATAGGTTATATCTACATTTTATCGTATATTTCATGGAACCACAAATACTATCCACCACTCATTTTTATATATTTATAATTTAAACGGATTATAGTCACTTCTCAAACATGACCTTCACGTCACTAGTAGAAGTTTTGCATAGCAAGTAGAACTTTTGAATGAGGTATTAAGCCCCTGTTTGACAATCTTTAAAAATTTAAATTGTTTGCTATAGTATCATTTTCCACTATACATTCATACAATTAATTATTGTACACACAAATTAATAAAGTTTTCTTACTTTTTAACCACACACTCTCCAAAAATACTATTCAAGACTCTTTAATTTTCAAATGAAGAGAGTCAAACAGGCTCTAAATAAGGATTTGATTGATTGATTTTTTATCGAGATGACATCTAGGGAATTCAAATGTGTCAATATTTAAAAAAAAAAAAAAGGGTTGAACCTCAACCTTCAAGGCCCCATCGCCACGCCCTTAAAGCTTTTGTGAGAGAGGTAAATCGCGGGATGTGTCCCAGCAGGCCAAGGAACAAGAGCTGCTTGTACACTGCGCCTACAAGGAGTCCAATTCCATGTCTCAAAAATCGAACCCCCACACTGTGGCTGCCAGCAAGGCGTGAGATAACCTCATTCCTTTTCTTTGCACCACTGGACTATGCCCCGAGGGCAAAATGCGTCAATGTTTGTTATATCTAATAGTACTTAAGAATTGTGAAAGAGCCTATGGGCTCGATCATTTTTCTAATTTTAATTAAATAATTATATAAATATTTCTAAGATAATATGAGAGACACCTCCCACCTACTTTACATAATAGTGATAGAGAAATGATAAAAATAGTTTAGGTTCAAGGGTAAACTAGGTAATAAACAATTCTAATAGTAATTGAGATGAATACCTAACTGTAAACTTCTTTAGTTCAGTGATAGTGTATCACTGAAATTTAAGTTTGCAGTGGTTATTCAGATGGAAATTCTATTGAAGAATTATCAAAATTAAGCACTTTTTTTGGAAAACTCAAAATAATTCATTGATATATAAGCAAGATTGTGTCACGTGGAAGAGGTAAAAGTAGCAGATAAAGGTTTGTGTAGAAGAGTGATCGTTCCTACTCTATAAGGAAGTTTTAGCATTCCTTGTTCATTACTACCCAAACAGTGTACAACTTTCACAAGGCATCTCAGTATTTGTCAAATTTTGTAAGCCATTTTGCTTGTCATCATGTTAGTTTCCACATTTGAATTGATCTACCTGGCAGCCTCTAATTCTCATGCTGTTTTCTGTTTCTGCATTCTAATCATAGTCATTCTAGTTGTTAGAAATTCCAAGTAACTTCACAGTACAATGAAGACAAACCTGATCCTTGTCACAGTTTTGCCCTGTGAAAACAAAGATTTCACAAACATGGAAAATAATTATTCTTCATGTGGGAAGGCGAAGAAATTAGCTGAAGCCGATGAAGTTGAAGCATCATTTGTCGATATAACAACTGTCGACGATGAAGAAAGAAGTCAGGTTGACCAAGAAGTGGAAGATGCTGAAATTGAAGCATAATCTGTCAGTATAACAACGATCGACAATGAATAAAGAAGTCGGGATGAAAAAGAAGATGACAATGATGAATTAAGAAGAAGAGTTGAAGAATTCATTAATAAAACAAATAGAGGATGGAGTGTTGAAAAGTTGAAAACATATTCTTTAGTTCAGTGATAGTATATCACTAAAATTTAAGTCCGCAGTGGTTATTCAGATGGAAATTCTATTGAAGAATTATCAAAATTAAGCACTTATTTTGGAAAACTGAAAACAATTCATTGATATATTAGAAGGATTGCGTCACGTGGAAGAGATAAAAGTAGTAGAAAAAGGTGTGTAGAAGGGTGATCGTTCCTACTCTATAAGGAAGTTTTAGCATTCCTTGTTCATTTAGCCTTGATTGGTAATTATTCTTTCAAAAGTCATATTTTTTCATATTCATTTTCAATCATGCATTCTCACTAAATTTAAAATTTTTTCTTACTTTTTAATCACACATTCTCTAAAAATTTACTATTGTAGAACTTCTTTCCAAAAAAATTATGTCAAAGGGATGCTTGGTAGAGCCAACTGTATAATACTAGATAACATTAAAGAATAAAATAAAAACAAAAAATCTTATCTTATATTGTCTAAACACGTTCCATTTTTTATATGTGTTAGTGTTTTGGTTTGCAGACTTCCCTTTTTAATCTTTGATTAAAGGAAGTCTTTTTTATTTTTTATTTTTTTATTTTTTTGTGTGGGATGATCTCACTTTCTTAGCTCCTGAAACAACTTTATTCTAGATTATTTGTGCAGGTCTTTGCTTATTTTGTAATTAAATTAGTGGGAAGCTGTTAGTGATTAGTGGAAAAAAATTGCAACAAAAGTAAGCAGTAGGTAGAAAAGACAATCACTTTTTTCTGTAAACTTCATGAAAGTGAGAAAATGAGCAAAAAAGGACAAAACAAAGTTGAAAATGACACTTAATTCCAGTTTCATGCATTTAAAGTTCTACATCCAAGTTACACAACACGGATAGAGTATGGCGAGTATCTTAGAACAATCATACCAGTACAAAGTCCTAACCTAGTGCCTAAAGGGGAAAAATGAAAAAAAGAAAAACCTTGAGTCGACCTGCATGGTAACATACAACCAATCAACATCTAATGGGGGTCAGAGATAAGTAAGCCTAAAACTTCGATACCTGATACAAACAGCTAAAATACAAACAAGACGAGCACAAATGACACTATCAGCAAGTAATTTCATGGCTATGCTCCCTAGAATCTTCTCCTTGAAGTGAGGCGTTGTTTTCTGGGTCAGTGCCCTTTGAGCCATGCATCGAGTTCATAGAAGTCGAGTTATCTCCATGGAAGGAAGCCGAGGAGGTCAAATTTGGCTTTGGTACATTGTAGGCTCCTTCGTATCTTTCTTCAGAAATAGGATTAGCAGGACTTTGGGTAAAAGCTATTGTGTGTTCAAATTTTGGTTTCTTGGGCTTTTGCTCTTGCTGATGGCCCGGAATAAAGCTACCTAGCACAACCTGTAAAATGTACACGAGTAGTAATAAGATTTGGGATTCCATCTTAAATTGTCTGTTAGTTTAACCAACAATGTCGACCTTATTAAGTAGAGTAGCCCAAATTCTTATAAATTTGTCTATGTTTTCATCTTTATTCGATGTGAACTTTTATCTCTTAACATGCTCTCGCAAGATAGTGATTCATTTGAGTAGACCAATCTTGAAATCTTGGTGCTCTTTTTTTTTTCCTTAATTGGATTGAATTGCTAGTTAATGGCCTCTAATAACTTATTAAGACTTAGGATTCTATCATAAAATGTCAACCTTATTAAAAGGAGTAGTCAAAATCCTTATAAGTTGGTCTATATTTTCATCTTTATTCGACGTGAGATTTTATACCTTAATAGTCAGTGTTAAAAAGAGTAGCATTTTATTTCCATCATTTAAAACAATTTTCGCACCTGAACAGGTCCAGCTGCAACTAGCATGCCAGCAACTCCTCCCCCCATAACACGGCCATCCGGCCCAGCTAGAGAGACACTCATCCCACCAGTTCTGCTTTTTGTCAACCCATTATCGGTGAGCATAAACGATCCTGTCAAAGAAAGTATTTCAAAGAGGCCCTGCAGAATTCACACATTTAACACATTTTCTGAAATTTCTATTAGAGGAAATCCATGAAATTTTCAAATAAGTAACTCCCACTTTCTTAGAGATTTATTTATTAATTTAATAGATGCAAAAATCTCTCACCTCATAGGTCAAAGTACCACCCGAAGAATTAGGTTGACGCAGTGTAACATTTGAGATTGCACCATTTGCTACCAGAACGCAAATGGCTCTAGACCCTTGTTGAGAAAAAGATATGATCCTCATTGTAATGTCCTGATAAAAAGAGAGAATTAAGATTCAAAAACATGAACATGAATATTATGAGGCACGATTCAAAACTGCTTGTACCATTACCAGCATGAATTGCACTTCGTCTCAACTTCCTGATATTGCTACTTGTAAAAATGCATTCACTAGAATATTTATGACACGTTTTCTCTAGTGCACAGTATCGAATCATAATTGAATTTTAGAATTTTTCATTTTTTTTCTGTTATTTAAGTTGAAGGGTAAGTAGAGTACATATAGGAGCTCACTATGTAATGGCATTAGAAAATGATGCTCTTGGCTCATGACCATGACACAGAAAATTGCAATGTATATGGAAAAGAAAAATCAATAAAAGAACTTCGAGCAACATTAGTCGCCTTGAAGACTCTATAGGGAAAAAATTATAAATAAATAAAATTTAAGGAGGACACACTTTCAGATACACTCTGGTGCCTTATTCAGTTGAACAGATGTGAAAGAATATTAAATGGAAAATAAGTATTATGTAAATCAAACTGAAAGAAAAAGAAATCGTCAAATTTACTTATCATTAGAAGTACCTCGCCAGCATTAACAGTAATAACATGAGGAATAAAACTTGCACCAACAGAGAATGCCGTCGATCCTCCTACAAATATAGATATATGTCAAGGCAATCAGTTTAATGAATGTAAAAGTTCGTTAAATGCAAGGCATGCTAAATACTCAAGCAATTGCAATGTTTATGACATTTCTACTGATGGTGCACTAATAGAGGAAGTCCGGACAATAAAAAAAATTGATATTTTCAAACTTGAAATTTATAGGAGACGAATTCCAAACCTTGTTCCAACAGAATTATGTGTTCCTTTGCATTACTGGCTTAGGTTAAAATCGGCTTTATATATGGACTTCCTCATCGACAATATTAATCCTATCTCTTCTACGATAGCAAATATTACACCCATCTTTAGCGTCAAAACCACACATTTTAAAACCATTTTGTCATCATTACTCAATGAGCACGTGTTTGGTACGTAGTACTAAATAAGATTCCACATTATAATGAACAACATATTATTTTCTTTTACTTCCAAATTAGTATTTGTCCAATTCTCCCTACCAAATATAGCATCAATTTCATTATCCTATAGTCACCGAGTAAAGACAGATCCTTAATCGAGTAAAATCATCTCAGAATAGATAGATTCCCCGAGTAAACACAAGAGCACCCCATGAAGGGAAACGCAGATCCAGTTTCTGTACAGTTGCCGTAAATTACAAACATAAGATTACCATATCCACATAGATTGCCTACACAACATTCCAAGTTACCATATCCACATAGATTGCCTACACAACATTCCAAGTATAATCTCAATACAACAGTAAATCAAAACAAATCCTGACCACTTACTTAAAATCAATAAAAAAACACCAAATAAGTACCTGGACTTTCGATTTCCAACTTATGCTTCTTCTTGAAATGGTCAACGGGTCGGACTGTTCCTGGTTTCCAAGCTGGGAAATCTCCGGTAAAGGGAAATGAAGCCGATATCGGCATAGGTGACAGCGCCACCACTGAACCATCTGCTGCATACTTCCTTGGCCTTCCCCTCTTCTTCTTCACCTCCTTTTGTGCAGGCGGCACCACCGCGTTGACTGGTGGTGATGGCAGAGGAGCGGTGGCTGATCCACTGAATTGGCCGGAGATTTCAACCACGGGTTCCACCCTGTAGTTCTGTATAGCTTCATCACCTTTCACCGTGACTGCAGAACCATTTAGTCCTTTTTCCTCCATTTCTGTATAACTAGAAAGAAAGAAAAAAATCCGTAAAACCCTCGAAATTTAAAACCTGAACTAATTTCTTAAATCCCGCTACCTCAGAAAATAAAAAATAAAAAAAAAGAAGAAGAAGAAGAAGTGAAAATCAAATTTTTTTCCTCAAACGATCAGACTAACTAAAAAAAGCTTTTAACAAGAAATTATTTAAAATTAAAATTTATAAAAAAAAACCCTTAAAATTATCCATAAACCCAATCTAAATCTCTATAAATCTAGAAAATTAGGAATTAGCTCTAAATATTCAAAGATCTCAGAGTATAACAGGGCTCTACTGTTGGAATTTGCAAACAGTAATTTCTTGAAGTTACAGCTTAACATCTGCATTTACAGGGCATAAGTGAGCTAACGAAAAAAATCAAATTTTAAATCGGAAATTTTTTGGGAGGAGCTGTGAAATTAGGGTTTTTGCTAGAAAAAGTTAAAGAAGGAAAATAAAGTAGAAAAAATTCAGAAATTCAAAATAAAATGAACCCAATAAATTAAATATATATTAAATTTAATTCGGTAAGAAGCAATATTTAAATTGCAAAATTCAAAGTATTAATTATGGTTAAATAATGGTGTCAGGTCCGTCTTGGAAAATTAATAAATGATATTTAAAAAATTGGCAAATTTAATAAAAAAGAAAAAGTGATATTTGCCATTTGGAAAAAGATAATTCTTTTTAATTTTAAAATGCAACTTAATTTTTAATTTTAAAGCTGTAAAGTTAACGTTGGAGGCATGCCTATTTTTTCAACTTCTGACCTGGTCTTTGTCTTTTCGGATGAAATTAAAGTTGACCGAGTAAATTCAGATGCCCTTTAATTTACTTATTATTACGGTTTTGCCATTTTGTGTACTTTAATAAACAAGACAGATTGCTAGGGTTTTTGTAAGCAATTGCCGCTTATGCCTCCTATTAGGAAGCCTAAAACGGAAGTAAATTAATTTCTTATTAAAAAAAAAAAATTTTGAAGAGAGAGAGAGAGAGAGAAATGAACATGTTGCGATTATTAAATATCTAGTTACTTTCAATGATTTGCTTGGCTCAACTTCTTGTTTTTATAGAAATTTGTATGAATGTGAATTGATTGAGTAAAGGCTGAAATCAACAAAATTCGGAAATCGACTAGAGTGACAAAACGAGCTCACGGCCTCAATTTTTGTTGGATTCATCAACCATGATTTCTATATTAGTTGGTTTGTTAATGAAATAACGTTATACAAGAATCAAGTAATTTATATAAACAAAAACTTAATGTAAAACACATGCTTCTTCATTGTCTTATTTAATACAATTTACGAATAAGTGTTGTGTAACAAAGAATACCATCTAAACTCTCGATAAAAAGTGCAAAATAGATCCACAAAGATAATGCAATCATATTTTTCTTAGGAATGGTGATCTTATATTGCTTTTTTAAGAGTAGATCAATCAATATTAGAGTAGACAAAAATCTGAAGTTTTTTGCAGATTTTCATGTTTGGATAAGCTCAAAAAAGTAACTTTTTAAAACATTAAAAAACATCTTCAAACGTAGAAACAAAATGTTACTTTAAAGTAACTGTACTTACTTTTTTAAGCTTAGCCAAATATGATATACCAAAGAACTTGGTGACTAGTATTACAGCCTGAACTTAAACAACAATAATGGAATTTTAACTTAACTTTTCCCTTGCAAACTTTTTTCCATTTAAGACCTAACAAAAGTTGAATTTGTACAACAGCAATTTGAGAAAACCTCCCATTACATAAGAGATTTCAAGTGTTCATGGACTATTTACACAATAAATAAGTCATTTAAATTGGCTTATAAATGAATGTGTAAAGAATGCAGTTATACTTTCTATGACACCTGTAATGAATTCTCCATGGACAGTTCAAATCCAGCTCTCCTCTCCTCGAAGGAGTATTCGATCTTTTCAGCATCTTCAATTGGCTTGTCAGCACGTGGAAGAGATGCAGGAGGAGCCAGCGTCATGGCCGTCTGCATTGAAACTAATACTGTTGAAGAAGGTGTAGAAGGACGAGTTCTGGGATTTCGATTCTCTTCCTCCGTGGCAGAAATTATCTTGGTAGGAGTAGTAAACCGTGTATTGATATTTGGAAGTGTCTTGTGAAATGTCTCGATATTTTTTTCATTCTGATCTTCCAAATTAGTCGCATTCGGCTTTGATGTATCTGTAAAAGAAGATATGGAAGTGAACGGCTTTCTTATCTTAAGCAATTCTGTTTCACAGGTATTAATTATATTGAGAGAATGCTGTTTCGCTGGGATGCTTGATGTCTCCAAACCTATCCTCCCTGAAAAGTCCAGTGATAAAAACTAAATATAAGGGCAAATGGGATACATATCTAAAACTCAAATTACGTCGATCAGCTATGTTAGGGATAAGCAGAAATCATTATTCGACATTAATCATGCCTTTCATACCTACGATAACTACGTGAATCATTGTTCCAACTCAGTAAAAGAAAACATGGAAATGATATTTTACCTCAAAGATTAAGAAGACAAGAGCATGCCTTCAAAGAAGACTTGGAAATAATATTTTACCTCAAAGATTAAGAAGACAAGAGCATGCCTTCAAAGAAGACTTGGAAATAATATTTTACCTCAAAGATTAAGAAGACAAGAGCATGCCTTCAAAGAAGACTTGGAAATAATATTTTACCTCAAAGATTAAGAAGACGAGAAAGTTTGGCTAAGCTTAAGTCAAACTTACTTTTACTTGGATAGGTTACTTCTTTCTTTATTATAAGTTGAAAAAGGTAATTGCTTTGACATTAAGCTAGAGGGGTTACTTTCGAAACAAGAAACTTGCTTATTTTGTAAGTTCTAACTATGACCAACAAAATTTTTACTTTTAACTTTACTTCTCTATTCATACATAAACTTAGAGGTAAATTTATTGAGCTTACCTTCGTCCCTGAGATGGTCCGGATTCACTGGTTCATTTTTCTTCCTATTGCGTGGGGTATTAGGAGTGGCTTTTGCAGAAGGAAGTAAATCAGGCTTAGGAGTCTGTGCCATAGCTCCATTGAATGAAAGACTTCTATTGCTTGCACCACCGCACGACAAACCTGGTCCTTTCTTCGCAATTTGGTTCTTCATAGGGCTCGGTTTTGAACCATAAAGAACCTCCTGCTCCGCTAGTAACTGTCCCTGAAGTTTCTTTTGGTCCTAATATTAAGTAACAAAGAAAGAAAGAAAGAGAAGTCATTATTGCAAAGTAAGTTTAAGTATCACCATAAAAACAAGATAGAAGAGATATATACCCTCTGCCTTTTGCGCTCTACCTCCTTTTCTTGCCGTAATGTAGTATACTCTTCAAGCTTAGAAAGAAGACATGTCTATACACAGCAGACAAAGACGATAAGGGAAAAAATTTCTTAAGAAATGACATGACCTGAATGAACTCATATTTGCAGATTTAACAGGGTAACACTTACTCCATCATAAGTAAAAACCGCTCGTCTCTCATTTTGCCATGCTATGGTTTTTGTAGCCAAGGCATCCACCATTGCTATTACATCATAATTAATAAAATAAGACATCATTATCTAAATTGAATAATGCACGTGCCTGGAGGTTCTTACTAAAAGTACGAGGTTTCTGACAGGGTATGCAAATTATACCTGGAAGCTTACTGACTAATACACGAGCTTTTTCAGCACGTTTCAGATTAAGATGAGTACCTCTCCCAGCATTGTAGCGATTTTCGTCCTGCAAGGAAAGTAGGATGTTTTTTGTCTCTTGAGCAATTGCACGTGCCATGTTTGTTACTCAAGATATAATTACAAGCAAGTTGTAGAAAGCACTTAACCCTATCATACTCCTCAAGCCAGTTCTCCTCCTCACATGCAGCTATCCACTTCTCAACCCTTTCAAGGATTTCTTTCCTGCTAAAGGCTTCCTCTTTAACTTCAGCTATTTGAAGCTCAATTTGTTCCAGCAGACAAGCGGCATCAACAGCCCCTTTATTAATGAAAGAATAGGGACGAGAATATATATTCAATATTTAAGTGAAAAATATAATAATTATCCTCCACATGTATAAGAAAGTACCTGTATCAATCGCATCAATAGCTGTGTCCCTTGCACTATCTGATTCTGGAATCAAATGCGTTTTCAGGCATATATCTTCAAGCTCTGACTTCTTTTTTAATACAATCTCCTTCATTTTGCTTGTTTTCAACGCTTCCAACCGAGAAACTTCTGCTGCAACCTGGATGATGGTTACATCACTGAGTTCATTTTTATCTATACATAACACAATCCGTATAAACACAATCTTACATAGTCAATATAGTCGACAGAAAGCATGTCGAGTTCTGTTATCTCATCTTCTGAAGCAACTAGATTACAAGTAGCTTTCTGAAATATCTGTTGCTCTTCGATTGGCGTTTCCATCAAGTTCCATAGCTCCAATAATGAAGCCGCAAGATCTTGTAGCTGCCAATATTGAGTAGTCAATGAAACAATCTAACTGAAATGATGGTGATTTTTAAGTGACAGAAGCCTTTAAATTACATACCTGCCGCATCCTCTGTAATTTGAGTTCTCGCAGTCTTTGTATAGCAACTTCCAACTGCTCTATGGTATAACTGCTGATATCTTTTGAACCTTCTGTTTCCCCTAAACTGGGGTGAACCTCAATGACAATTTGCTTAAAATCCAAACCGAGCACCGAGCAGAGTGAATTCAAAGAAGTCATGCAATCAAGAACCTGCTTCAGACGGTCGCTCTTCCAGCAAAGAAAAATAAATGAAATTATGTCAAAATAAGGATCATTAGAATGGATGATACATCCTATTATGAAGAGAAAAACCTTTTCCTTGTGAAGTGACTGCAGCTCTCCGAGCAATTCTTCCAACTTTCTTAAAGACAAATCAGTTTCATCCACTTCGGTGTCTGTTGATGTATTCTCTGCTGACCCATAAATTTCACTCTTATGGTCTTGTATCTGCTGTAAGATTTCCGTAAATTGATTTTTTCTATCGCATTTCCTCTTCCTCAAATCCTCTATCTGTGGAAGAATGGCATCAAGTTCTGCCTTCAAGCTTCCAAGATTCTGATCAGACAGCCCCATGAAACACCATTTACAACGTTACCAAATATTCCACATCAAAATTTCATTTTTTTTTTCTTGGTAGCCAATCTTATGAAATTGTTACAACAAAAATGATATGGCAAAAAACATGCTTGAATTATGTCAGTCTTTGAATTCATATTTCAGTTAAGCCATGTTTTCTAACAACACCATTAAAAGTTAACATTTTTTTTCCTCTTTTTTGGAGTAAATATGTTTCGTGGTGGTGCAGGATTTAGACATTATATTCAGGTTTAAACGGCCATAGTGGAGAGGTTAACGAAAGTTGTGCGTGAATGTAAGATTATCGTGTTGGCACCTTCCATGGTGACATGAGCACAAGGTAACTATTCCAGAATCATTTAGACATAATTATTCGTTCTGACCTGCCTAATATGTAAAGGCCTTTCTCCCATGGCGGAGCATATGGCAGCAAGCTCTGCTTCGGCATCAGCAATTGACTGCTTTAGCTGAGCTCTACAAGTGTTTGCCCAGTCTACTTTTCTTCTGTATATCTCTAAACAATCTTGTTCTACCTCGATCAATACTCTGTCCCTAACAGCATCAGATTCCCCTATCTCATCCCATATTGTCTGATAGTTTTACCAACAAAGCTTACATATAAATAATTACAGCATGATGAAAGCAAGACTAAGATTGCCATTGAGACGAGGACATAAAATTCACAATTTCAATCAATGTATTATATATATATAATGGGAAAATGAACGAAAAAAATCAAGTCTATCTAAGGCAACTTATGATTAAAATTTTTTATAAAAAACCTGCAATTCGTGTAAAAGAGATCCACACGCGGTTTCCATTTGCAAAAAGGGAGATTGACCATTAGACATTTTAAAGCACCTTCACCTGCACACAGAAGCCATCGTTTTAAGATTTCAAGCACAAATTTTGTTAACATATACTCTCACAATGACATTAGAAAAGTCAACTAACTTCAATCCAGTTAACAGCCAAGGGAATACTTAACTCCTGCGTGTAAACTGTAAAATATACCAAGAATGCACAACTCTCCATACAAAATGATGACATTAGATTTTAGTTTTTCCCACTATAGGAACTCACAGAATGCTTAAATTAAAACAAAACTTTTCATGATTTTCCCAATCAACCAAATATAAGAATTCTAAAAAGGGCATACCCAGCTCTTAAAATTCAGATCAGAAGACCAAAAACTTGCTTTTGTCAGTACATTTGGGAAAAACGAAAATTTGCAATCATTTACTTAAAACTCTCAACTTCAGCAAACACAAACACAAATACAAATAATTCATTTCTTTATGCACCCATTTCCTGTGCAATGGAACAATATTACAGCTATTCATATTTTCCCATATCGGAAGCACATCAATAGATTTTTTTACTTACAAATAATGTAGCCTATGTATTTGTGATTTTACCAATGGACAAAATATAATATAGCTAATCCTGCTCAATTCAACCAAATCCCTAAGAATCAAATTGATAAATATTAGATAATGAATTGATCAACCCAAAAATTGCACAATTTTTTTACTTAAAAACAAAACAAATTTATAGTTCTTCAATTTTGCAACCCCATTTTCGGAAAACATTTGTATATTTTAAGATACTAACTCAAACAATCGAGAAAAAAAACAACATATAATAAACATAGAACTGCCAACGTACCCGAAAATCAAAATGAAAAGAAAAAGAGGAAAACTTCTTTGTCTCAATTCGGAAGCGCAGTGAGAAATTTTGCAGGATTGAATTTGAGAAATTAAAGATTCGCAAATTGCTATTGTGAAGGAGGATAAAGTTGTGGATAGGAGAGAAAATAGAGAGAAGAAAGTATAAAATTCGACCGTTGAAGACCCGATTTTGCCGGATTCATCAATTATGCTTTAAATTTTCTGGCTGTGACATGATAAAATAAAATTACGAAAACTTTTAGCTTCCTAAAGTTTTTTTTTTTTTTTTTGATATCAAGGTATCCCAACTTACACCATATTAAATCCTGAACCTTCAAGACCCATGCCCCTAGAACTTTGGAGGGAGTAAATCGCGAGTTATTGTTGTTTCTAGAGTTTGAATTCACTCCTTCGAAAACAATCGGACAGAATTACCTGAATGCAGGAATTGATCAACAGGATCAGAAATTGTAATTCGAGCCCACCGACTTCACGATGTGTCCTTAAAACGAATTTGCTGCCTTCAATGGTGCTAAAGGCGTCCAGCAATCGTTTCCCAGGATAGAACGAATTTTTCGTCTCCTACGGAAGCAGCACTGCAGTCTGTAGGAGTTCCAACAAACTCAACGAAGTGTTTTTGACTTCGAGACAATATCAGAACGAGAGAGAGGGAAATGAGATTCAAAGCACAGAAAGTTTGCAATGAAAATGGTGTAAATTTTCTGGTAGAAAGGCTGGCTATTTATAGACTTGTTCGTGGCCATTCGAACAGTCATCATCTTTCAGACAAGCCTCAAAAATCCGAACAGACATACTGTTCTTAAAAGTCGTGTCTGTTAAGTCGGTTAACAGTCGACTAACAGTCGACTGTTTGGTCGGTAAACAGTCGAAACAGTCGACTGTTACAAGAAAATAAAACACCCGGAATAAGCCAAAATTTAAATAAATTTTGTACCCAAGAATTTGATTATTTACAATTTGGCCCAAAATTTTAAATAAATTTTGTCCAAAAAATTAATATAGTGTAAAGGTCGACCCG